CTGCTGGGGGATCCAGGTGTGTGTGAATCGAGTACTGTGTGGTGGTGGGTGGTGGGTGGAAGACGCTTTTGATCCGAGCATCCACCCGACAACGGGGGCATCTGTTATGACCAAGACTGTCCCGTACCGAAATGAGCTACCTAAATTCCTAATCTGGGCTACAGCTGGTCAAGAACGATTCCGTGCCTTAGCACCCATGTGCTGTCGAGGGTCGGCTGCTGCTGTCATCGTTTATGGTATCACGAAAGAAGAGACATTTTCAACATTAAAGAATTGGGTCAAAGAGCTTCGACAGCATGGCCCACCTAATATTGTAGTTGCCGTTGCAGGAAATAAGTGTGATCTTATCGATGTGAGAGAAGTCATGGAGAGAGATGCTAAGGACCACGCCGACTCCATTTATGCCATTTTTGTAGAGACCAGGGCAAAAAACGCGATAAACATAAATGAACTCTTTATAGAAATTAGTCGAAGAATTCCATCCGCTGACGGCAATCGGCCATCTGGCAGTAAGGGCTTCAAACTCCGGAGACAGCCTTCAGAGCCTAAGCGAAGCTGCTGTTGACTGAGCCCCAGCCTCTCAGACTCGATGGTGAAGTCGGTGGTCCTGAAAGTTAACAGGAAGGCTGGGGTCCCTGCCACCACTTTTCACCTCGCCAGTCTTGAGTCTTCTTCATGCAAAAAGGATTCACAGAAATTGACTGGTCTGTTCTCTCTTCAAAGACTGCAACCGTGATGTTTCAGTCTGTGGACTTCTGTTATGTAAGGAATCTCTAGTACAAACGGACTGCATCGTTGGCTTCTGACCTCGCTGGAAAGGAACATATGATTGTGTGGATGGGAGAATTAAATTGCTGGGTAGTTTTGTAATCAAGATTTTATGTAACATTTGTAAAGGGAAAATTAGCACTTTGCTGGGTTTTGAGGGGAAAGAAAAAACCTTGTGAAGATGACCATTTCCTTGGTTTCTGTTACCACTGTTAGAGGGAGTTGTAACCTTTAAAATGTGGTAGGATATTATAAGTGGAGAGATGGCAATTATTACTTGAAGGTAAAATGGGTTATTTATAGGACTGATGGAAACGATTTCATCTCTGCCATCTCTAAAGCGCTTTTCATTGAGTATGTTAGCCTGGAACACGTACAGAAAATTAACAGTGATGATAGCAGATGTCTGGCTCACACTGGCATTGCTTCTGAGCCTGTCGTTTATGTGTCACCAGACACATTATTGGCACCTTTTTAAATAAGCTCTCCTGATCAGGATGGTGTGGTAGAGAAGCTACTTGGAATAAATTGAATTGCATATGTTCTAAACTGAGTAGCAGTGGCTCTAAAAAGAAGAGAGAAAGAAAGGGAAGAAAGTGGTGCAATGCTGTCCAAATATTTTTATTTAATCCAAATATTTTAGCAGGGAAGAACAAGTATCTGTTGCTTCACATATGTAAAGTTGTAGTCTATATTTATGAGACCATTGCTTAAAGATGATAAATTATGTAACATAAAAAAAGAATCTAATTCCATCACCTATCTGGCAGGAGTCAGAGTTCCACTTTGTCACTCACGTCCTGCTGTGCTGCCCAGTTTCTAAGGCCACAGACCAGTACTGGTCCATGGCCTGGGGTTGGTGGGACCCTTGACCTATGGGATACAATGTTCACTCTCTGGGGAATGGGCCACCTGAGACTTAATCCCCACCACTACACAATATGTCCATGTGACACACATGCATGTCTACTCCCTGAATCTAAAATAAAAATGAAAAAAAAGGAATGTGAGAGGATAGGTCTTATGTGAAATGTACTTATCACAATTTTAAAAATCCACTCGCCCTTTTTCTCAGCTGACAGCAGGTCCAACAGATGCTGAAGATGCCTCAGCCATAAACTCTTGAGTTACCTCTGAAAGCCTTAAATCGCAGCACTGGGCAGTTTCACACGTGCGGCTACAAGCCCCTGTGTCTCTGGTTTTGCTGTCTGGGCATCTTCTGGCTCAGCCAGTTTGTAGTGTGGAGCAGCCTGGATGACAGGGGATTTAACACCCCCAGGGACCACCCTCAACAAAGAGACATGGAGTCGATGGTAAATACCCAAGACCCCTCCCCTCAGTGGAATTATTCTGCGGGTGAGTTCTGTGTGCTACCCCAGAGGAGCTCCAGCAGGACTGAGCCCTCTGTTGCTCACAGAGGAAATCTGCTTGTTAACACACTCCTTTTCTGCTTCACTTTCCCCACTCCTGGGACCAACTGCCAAATAAACCTCTTGCACCCAAGTGATTCATGATCAGAACCTGTTTTGAATCCAAATCAAAACTGCTAGTTCCACTTGGCCCCTGTCACATCAGAAGCCTTGAGTCTCCAAGAATTCAGGGATCCTTACTTCTCCTAGATTATTGTTGTTTTTAGAGACAACCCGGTTTTGTCATCCAGTGGCATGATCATAGCTCACTACATCCTCAAACTCTTGGCCTCAAGTGATCCTCCCACTTCAGCCTCCTAAAGTGTTGGGATTATAGGTGTGAGCCACCATGCCCAGCCCTCTTCTAGATACTAATCAAGGAAGAAAATCAGAGGCTATGTAAAAATTATTTGGAAGTCGGATCAAAAGCATTTGTGCTTAGACAAATGGGTGGAGAGTGGCTGAAACCCAGGACTCTGAAAGTAGAAATCTGGACTTTGGCCCTAAAGAAGATAGAATGACAGAGGATCCCCTGTTTCTCTCTCCCAGTGTTCACTGATGCTTTCCTGGTGCCAGAACTCGTGCCACCTAAAAACTCTGAGATGCTCCCAACACATTCAGCCCCTGGATTCCAGATCAACACAGACTAGAAAACTGGTTCTAGAAAAGAACATAGGACTAGCTCCACCCTACACCAATTTCCTACAGGAAAAAAATTGTTACTTTTGATAACATTTTTATAAAGTCATATCAAAAGAAAAGTCTCTTTTTCTTCCTGAAAATATCTCTCTTTCCTCTTTGTCTCTCTTGCTTTCCTTCTCTCACTACTCCTTCTATAACTGGGTTCAGAATTCCTGGGAGAGTTTGGATGAGTGATACCAATGTCATACCACAGCTTTGAGTAAAATACATTTTCAGGACCACGGACAGTAGCAAAGGTACACTCAGCCTCTGGACTTTTCAGCTGTTTCCCTCTACCTCTGGGTTCAAATTGAAAGTAATTTTAATTTTTAAAAAATTATCAAGGATTAGCATCAACTCATATTGCTGCCTATCCATCATAAAGTCATTCTATGAGGACCCACAATTAAGCTCATGAACTTGCCACCACGTGCTTATGTGGGCAGCACTGTACAAACAACTCAGTGAGGTTTCATAGCCTTGATATATCAGGGTCTCGCAGCTGTGTTCGTGTCGGCGTGTGGTGGTGGTCTTGCTGAGTGGTGTTCATTATTGTTGCATGTTTTTGTATACCACTGCAAGAATGTCAGAGCTTGAATTATAGCAACAAATATTAAATGTCTTGTTAAACTTGGCAAGAATGGAAGTGAAATCAGGGACATGTCAGGCCAAGTTTATGGGGATAATGCTATGAACAAAACAGCAGTGTGCAAATGGATTAAATATTTTCTGAGGAGAGGGAAAGTGTCACTGATGAAGAGAGGTCAGAATGGCCAGTAATGAGCAGAACTGATGAAAACATTGCAAAAAATTCATCAAATTGCGCATCCCCATTGTTGACTGTGAGAAGCATAACAGCCAAATAAACATTGATAGGCAGCCAGACTCAGTGGCTCAGCCTGTAATCCCGCACTTTGGGAGGCTGAAGTGAGTGGATTGCCTGAGCCTGCGGGTTCGAGACCCGCCTGGGCAACTTGGCAAGACCTCATCTCTACAATAAATCAAAAAATCAGCTGGGCGTGGTAGCGCATACCTGTAATTCCAGCTACTCGGCAGGCTGAGGTGGAAGGATCGCTGGAGCCCAGCGGGTCGAGGCTGCAGTGGCCAGGAGTGGCCACTGCACTCTAATCTGGGTGACAGAGTGAGACTCCAACTCAAAAAAAAAAAAAATCGATGGGGAAACAGCTAGAAAAATCTTAACTGAAAATCTTGGTATGAGAAAGGTGTATGCAAAAATAGTCCCAAAGGAGTTCTTGCATCACACCAATGCACCAGCTCACACAGCACTGTCTGTGAGGGAGATTTTAGCCAATAAACAAAGAACTGTATTAGAGCATCTACCTCACCTGATCTGGCTTCCAACAACTTTTTTTACCCAAAGATAAAGGAAATATTGAAAGGAAGACATTTGTATGACATTCAGGACATCAAGGGTAATACAATGATTGCTCTGATGACCATTCCATAAAAAAAGCTTCAAAATTGCTTTGACAAGGGAATGAAGCACTGGCAGTGGTGCGTAGCTTTTCAAGTGAAGTACTTCAAAGATGACTGTAGTGATATTCAGCCGTGAGGTATGTAGCACTTTTTCTAGGATGAGTTCACGAACTTAATTGTCAGATGTCATTCAAAGTCTTTTTTTTTTTTTGAGTTGGAATCTCACTCTGTTGCCCAGACTGGAGTGCAGTGGCCGCTCCCGGCCACCGCAGCCTCGACCTGCTGGGCTCCGGCGATCCTTCTGCCTCAGCCTTCCAAGTAGCTGGAACTACGGCGTGCGCTACCATGCCCGGCTAATTTTTGATTTATTGTAGAGATGAGGTCTCGCCAAGTTGCCCAGGCGGGTCTCGAACCTGCGGGCTCAGGCAATCTACTCACCTCAGCCTCCCAAAGGCGAGAGATTACAGGCTGAGCCACCGAGCCCGGCTTCATTCAAAGTCTTAAACGCAAGACCTTGTTTTTGTTTTGAAGCTGACCTCGCCATAGAGTTGCAGTCCAAGAGATATCTGTAATTATCTCTTTTTTTTTTTCTTTTTGAAATCAGTCTCACTGTGTCAAGCTGGAGTGTGATGGTACAATCATGGCTCACCACAGCCTCAACCTTCTGGGCTCAAGCAATCCTCCTTCAACCTCCCAAGTAGCTGGGACTGCAGGTACATGCCACCACTTCTGGCTGATTTTTTGTTTTTATTTTTTGTAGAGATGAGGTCTCACTATGTTGCCCAGGCTTGTCTCAAATTCCTGGGCTCAAGTGATCCTCACACTTCAGCCTCCCAAATTGCTGGGATTACAGGCATGAGCCACCACACCCATCTGTAAATAAGGCAATTCTAATACTTACTAAAGTCCCTAAAATGATTCCAAAATGTATCCTACATAGGAAAACATCCATTTCCTGTTCATTTTCTGCCTTCCTAAAGACTCAGTAATTCCTACTATAAAGTATAAACCTCCAGAGAAACTCTCAAACACAGACCTGAAAAAGTGTCTTTTAGGGTTGTCATTATAATAAATAGTTACCTAAATATCCACCCAGAGTGACATGAAAAAATAAAATGTGATATATAACTATACATTAAAATGAATGAACTAATTCTACATTGTTCATTCATTTTAGGAGAGTTACTATTCTTTGAACTATGTCCATAGCTGTGGACAGATCTCAAAAACCTAACATTGAGAGACAAATGACAGGGGACAAAATAAAATA